GCATGATTGATGTCTACAGTTGAATCGATAACGCTGGGTTAAACTAGGATACCTCAACTGTGCAATCTATTATCAAAGTACGCAGTCTGTAGAAAAACGAACCTATTTTGGAGAGGTGGATATTCTGTATCTTCAGAAATAAAACCAACAATTTTTGTACGTCAAGGTTTCTGTGTCTAGGAAGAGGTTTTCCTCTTTTAGATTTAGCGTTGCTACAATTGGCTGTGTGGTACTTCCCGTATTTCAACTTTATCCCCTGTTTTGTTACTACTGCTATTTGTGTTTCCAGCATCACCACTCCCTGTTATTGTGCTATTGGATGCACATGACTGGTGAAATAACGACTAAAGCTAAGTTTATCTTTATATTCGTAATGAAAACAACTGGTGTTTTTCTATCTGAACAAATTCTGTTCTATATCTACAAAAAACATGTTATTACTGAAGAGTTGGCACTGAAACTATTGTAAAATCGTGATGGAATAAAGCACAATAAGTCACACATATTTTACACAAACTGGACTGCATTTTGACCAACCATGGATAAATTATTAGTAGGCTTATGCCTAACTTTTATGCCCAGCACAATCTTACCACGATTGTAAGTTAAAACTAGTCCTCGACCCTATAACTTTGTTATAGATCCTATTCACTTGATTCAAATAACTCTCCAGTTTGCTTTTCCAATTTCGAAATACGTGTCGACATTCTTATTTCCAGTGCGTTCAACATATTTTCAAATTTCGATGCTTGAATGGCAAGTAGGCTGTCGACAGAAATGTTGTTGTTGTTCGCTGTGGATGGTATGATTGAACTGGTATTACTGGCTGTTTCTGAGTCGATCGGTGATGATGAGTAAGATGAGACACTTGCTCTCATACGTAGTCTATTGTTCGTGGTGGAATCGCATGTTGTTTTTCCAAAATAATGTCGTTGTTGACATTCGTTACATGGTTCAACTTTCGGACAAGCACTTGATCGATGTCCAACACTTTCACAGACAAAGCAAATCATTGGCAAATAATATTCTTTCACCGTTTTTCTTTCGTGCCAAATGACCATTAGTCCATCGTCGAGTAAACGTGCAACTTGTTCCGAAGAATCAAATTCAACGCGAATTGAGCGCATCGGTTGACCGTTACCATTGAACATGCGTTTGACATCAACAATACCATCACCATATTTATTCACTAAATCATTGTAGACATCATCCAACATCCAATCACGCGACACATCGAGAATAACCAAAGAATAAGGATCAATACGATTACTTGGCATGTTTAGTCGT